TCAAACCTCAGAGTTCACTCAAGCTTTGGGCAAGACACCCAATCTCTTCATATTTCAACCAAGCCAAGCCAGGCCAGCCCATCTGTCTACGTAAAAGGGGTGGTCCTACTGGACTGGATCTCAGGTGTCCTGGGTTCTATTCCCAGCTCTGCCACTGGCCTGCTGGGTGACCCTGTCCCCCCTCCGTGCCTCAGTTTCCCCATCTGTGAAATGGAGATAATAATACTGACTTCCTTTGCAAAGTGCTTTGATATTGGTTGATGAAAAGTACTAGCTAGGAGCTGCTTATCACTTTCTTTCACTGTTCATTGGCTAGCAATTGATTCCTCTAATCACATTAATTTTTGCTTGGTGGCTGGGATGCAAGTATTCTGACAAGTGCTCAGGTCCTGCAATCATTATTATCAGTGTTCATTATATCACAATATAATGAACACTCAAGGTCCCAGAACACATAAGCTTTTTGGAGTAGGGACTGCTTTAAATAGACAGGCAGGACTATAGCCCCCATTTCACAGAGTGTGACACAGGTATGAGGACACATAGAGCCTAGACTTGAACTCAGATCTCCTGAGTCACAGTCTGTTTCCCTAACCCCAAGAGCATCCTCTCATGAGAGCAAAGCCTCTTCTTTTTTGCTACAGCAGAGTGGGAGGCCAGAGTTCAGGCACCCCCAACAACTCCTGAGCTACAAACAGAAACGGTGTCCAAGGATTTCTCTGCCCAAGCTGATAAATAATATTTTATCAGAGCCCAGTGCTGCGAGGCGCTGAGCAACCTCAGCAACTGTTGAAGTATATTGGAAGCACGGAATCATAGAAATGCAGGTCTGAAAGGGACCTCGAGAGGTCACCTAGTCCAGCCCCCTGCACTGAGGCAGGACCAAGTAAACCTAGACCATCCCTGACAGGTGTCTGTCCAATCTAGATGATTATGATGGACCCTTCTGGCTTTATAGTCTATGAGTCCATAATCTGTTCTTAAAAACCGGTAATGACGGGGATCCCACAGCCTCCTTTGGAAACCAATTCCACAGCTTAACTTCCCTTAGAGTTAGAACATTTTTCCTAATATCTAACCTAAATCTCCCTTGCTGCAGATTAAGCCGATTACTTCTTTCCTACCTTCAGTAGACACGGAGAACAACTGATCACAGCCCTCTTTATAACAGCCATTAACGTATTTACAGGCTGTTCTCAAGTTCCCCCTCAGGCTTCTTTTCTCTAGATTAAACATGCCTAGTTTTTTAACCTTTCCTCCTAGGTCAGGTTTCCTAAATCTTTGATCATTTTTGTTCCTCTTTATTATTTGTATTGTGGTGGTGCCCAGGAGTCCCAGTCACAGACCAGGACCCCTCTGGCACTAGATGCTGTACAAACAGACAATGCTTGCTCCAGAGTGCTTGACTGCTCACCACTTTATTTTATTGATCGTGTATGTTACAGAATCATACAGTTCGGGATTGGGGACTCATTGTGCTGGGTTCTGAACAAATAGAGACAGTCCCTGCCTCAAAGATCTTACAATCTAAAAGAGGAGCTGGCGGGACAATCATATTACCCACAAGTCGCCCCAGCCCTACACAATCCCAGCAGTGTCTGTCTACATGTGGTTAACTCTTTCCCTTTTTGCCACGCCAGCTCTTCTCGCTGATCATATTTGCCTCCCTGGTGACCGACGGCTACCAGAACTTGACAGCTTCATCCCAGCTGCGCTGCGTGCTGAATGACAATGGGGTGGCCTGCAGCTATGCCATCACAGCTGGGGTCCTGGCCTTCCTGCAGTCCTTCCTCTTCCTGGCCTTTGACGCTTACCACAACATTATCATTAGCCACAAGGTCAAATCTGTCATCCTGAGTCTGGACCTGACTTTCTCCAGTAAGTGATTACTCCCCCAGATCCAAATGTCCCTCCATGGGGTTGGTCACCAACAGCTCAGCATAGCACAGCAGCAAGCCCCTCTTCACTCATGCACTTTCAACCCTTTCCACTTTGGCCAGAGCCAAAGGGCTAAAAATCTTGGCATCGAGACATCTTGGCTGCTGTCTCATTTCCCAGCTGGACTGGATCAGACCCATTGGTCTGTCTTCACCCTCTGCCAGTACCACATCAGATCAACTGTCTATTAAGCATGGTATCCTCTCTGCAGACATTTTCAATCAGAAAAGTAGCTCGTTTAAGGCAAATACCCCTGCCACCATGTCTGAGCAGAGGTGCGGTATACCTGGCTCACCTGATCAGGCTAACAATCCGTCTAGTCTGCTGCATCTGCCCACAGTCTGCCTGCTGCACTGGATCACACCAATAGTCCCTAGCTAGTTCTTTTCATCAGTAGACCTCAAAGCGCTTTACAAAGGGAGGTAAATATCATCATCTACATTTTACAGATGGGGAAACTGGGGCAATGAAGTGATTTACCCATAGCTGAAGCAGGAATTGAACCCAGGTCTCCTGAATCCCACTGCAGGAGAGTCCAGTGATCCATCTAGCCTGGTATTCTGTCTCCTTCTAATGTCTCAGAAGAAGGCAAAACACCTCTTTAATACACCCACCAATTTTCCAGTGACGTTCATCAGAGATAAAAATTCCCCCCGGTCCCTCAGGCAGCTTATCCCCTGGAGCAGTAGATGTCATTGAGTTTCCCATTGATTTGGTTAGTACAATAACCACCGGGGAGCACTTTATTATATTTTTCAGCTGCTTTATTCTTTGAAATGCAGCCCCTTTATCTCAGTCATGTGTGGAGGTTTGCCTCAGATAAATGGGAAGGGGAACACTCACCCTGAGCTTTTGCATGAACCTTTGACAGCTCCATTCCTACCTCACCGCAACTCCCCAACACACCTGTTTGCATTGCCCATAATCTTGCTCCCTGTCTTTCCAGTCATCTGGTCGTGCATATGGTTCATTGGCTTCTGTTTCCTGGCAAATCAATGGAACACGTCTGCTCACCACTACCTGCTGGGAAGTAGCTCAGCCCGCGCCAGCATTGCCTTTGCTTTCTTCTCCATCCCCTGCTGGGTAAGAAATTCTCACTTCTCTTTCTTGACTCCAGTCCTTTCCAGAGTGAATACACCCCGTTGATCCAGCAATCATAGCAAAGCCCCTGCTGTGCTGCCTTGTAAAAGGAATGTTTCACTACTGGGCAGGAAGGAAAGGAGATTTCCCCTCTTAACTGAGACAGAATTGGCTCTTTCTGGGAAACAGCACTAACTTAAGAATGAAAGTGGGGTGCTACTATGATCCCTGTCTATTTCTTTCCTCCGGCATTAGGGGGCTCCTCCTTCTCATCACTTAACATGGGTATAGCACTTTACATTTCCAATGCAATGAACCCTTTTAACAGACTCTGGAGGTAAGCAGGTATATGGGGAAACTGAGGCACAGAGCCAGCTGTGGTAAGAAGCCAAGTGTGCCTGGCTCCTTTGCTGGCAGCACCCACGTTTACCCCACTAGTCCACACAGGTCCTACCCACAGCTGTGACTTCCCATCCTGATGACAGGAATCCTTGGCTTATTTCATACCAAGACACCACCCCCTTCATATTTTGCCAGTCCACCCTTCTTCACTCCTGCACTGAGAGGTGCCAAAAAGAAAGCCTGATGCCTTTGTCTTTAAGGGGAGCAGCAGCTGCTGAGCACCTCTTGGGATCAAGCCCTTAACAGACCATCTGCAAATGGGTGACTCGTACTTTCCTCAACAGGCTGCTGACCTAGTCACTTGCTGTCAGGAGGGGCCTTCTTACAAGATCTGTTACGGAACTTCCCTGTCTCACTCACTCACGCGCAGGCACCAAATGAACTGAGTGATTCAGGATTCAGCTAGTATTCCAGATTGGGAAGTGGGGGATTCTGATGCCAGAAGGGGGAGCCTTCCTCAGGAAGGGCTGAACTGACCAGTTTACAAACTGAGGGCCAGATCCTCAGCTGGAGTAAATCAGTTGTCACTTCAGTGAAGTCAAGAGAGCTATATGGATTTACACCATCTGGGGAACTATCCCTGGAAGTAATTCTGAGGGCCTGTCTTCACTGCAAAATTAATCTGAGTTTTGCCCCTAACTTGAGTCCCATACACACAACAGCCCTTGAGTGTGGGGTGGTGCTCCTGGCCCGAGAGGGGGCATAGGCTAAAACTGTAGGAAGCACAGCTCATCAGCTGCTAACACAACCTTTTTCCAGCGTAGAGGCAGGCTAGCTCTCCTCAAGTGCTGCTAATCCTTCCCCCAGTCCCTCCCTTGTGCCCAAAAAGGACAGACAAGTTCTCCTGTAATTCACTGGGAAAGAATAGAGAGCAGCTCAGTTTACTGCAGTGCTCAGAACCGCCAGATGTGCCCCCCAAGGTCCTAGCACCACACATGCACCAATGCGGACACAGCCGGTAGTTGAGTTGTAATTTGAGTGTAGCTAACCTGAGTTAGGGTTAGGCCTCTGCAGTGAGGCCATTCCCTAAGAGTAAATGGAGATGCTCGGACTAAGAATGACATGTGTGTGACAGGTCTCCACATCTCTGCCTTGCAGGTGTACCTGGGCTACCAAGCCCTGAGGGGCCTGTGGGCTGAGCCCCTCATTCCCTACAAACAGTCCTTGGACGAAGGCGCTGTGGCCCTGAACACACTCTCTTCTGTCACCACCACCTCCATCCCCAGGAGCATGGAGTATCATAGCCCCACCAAAGGCAAAAGCGGTAGCTCCGCCGCCCCCTTTCCACAGACTCCCAAGGGAAACCAGCTCACTTTCCTGAATGACAATTAGAGATCTATTTTTTCACCCTGCAGTAAATAAAGAGAGGCTTTTGCTTTCTCAACCAGAACCTGAGTGGCTTAATTCAAATCATAAGGCAAAAGGGAAGGAGACTTGAGTCACAGAGAAACAATGTTGAGATGAAAGTCAACAACCACAGGTGTCAAACTCATTGGATGCAAAGGGACAAATTCCACATATAGTTAAGACCCTAAACATAGGGCTCCATTCCCCTGCCACCCTGCTGATGCCAACTGCAAGTTCACAAAGATCGAGGGTAGAATGTGTCTAAATTAGTTACCGTTCTTTGTCACATTTGGTGACAATAAAGTGAGAAAGATATACCCAACTCCTTAGAGGTCTGTGGTATTTTTGCGCTCTTCCTTCTCCCATCCTCCTTTCTCTCCCTCCTCCTTATCTTTGTGGCTCTGCTGTTCTTCCTGCTGCATTTCCTTCCCTGCACCAGCTGCTTCTGCTAAAAGGACCAGCAGCAACACAGTTACATTGACAACCATGCAGCATTTGAATCAACACGTCAACAAGATGCAGGAGCAAGGACTTCATGCATCTCCAAGCTGTTGTTTCAGGCTGCTTGCAGACTCAAGCAGGCAGCGCTGCTTTGGTTCAACGTCAGTTCCCAGTCAGTTCCCAGGGGAAGGTTTTCTTCACAACCAGGAGGGCTTGAACCTTACTTTTAAAAAAATGGGTAAAGCAGAGATTCTGCATCATCTGAATGTGGCACATGGGCTGTAAGTTTTTTTGAAACCCCTGAAACAGGACTTACTTTGAGCTGAGCAGAAATAAGTGATTCCCAAAGAACTCAGAATTACTGCTGGGCAGAAAATGGTTTCTATTGCCACAGACAATTTCCACTTTTTGGCAGGAAAAAATAAATCAAAACTTGAAATCTTTCAGTTCAAATATGCTGCTGCGGTGTCTCATTGAATTTGTAGTTTAGTTGCCATTCTGCTCCATAAGACAGGCTCCCTGGTTGGATTCCATCTCCCATGGTGCATGACAGTCTCCCCTCTCACTGAAGGGAGCTGGTGCATCATGGGAAATGAAACTCAGCTGGGAAGCCCAGGCCATGGAGGAGACTGGAAATATTGAGGCACCCAAACTACAATTCCCCTGAGGTACTGCAGCAGCATATCCATAAGAACTGCCATAGTGGGTCAGACCAATGGTCCATCTAGCCCAGTATCTTGTCTCTGACATTGGCCAGTATCAGAGCTTCAGGGTGAACTTACAGCACAGGACAATTTTGGAGAGATGCAGGCCTGTCTTCTCATCCCACGTTCTGGAAGTCAGAGCTTTCAGGTCACCTGAAACATAATGTTGCATCCCTGATCATCTTGGCTAAAAGCCAGTGATGGACCTATCCTCCATGAACTTATAAAATTATTTTTTGAAACCAGTTATACCTTTGGCCATCACAACATCCCATGGTAATGAGTTCTACAGGTTAACTGGGTGTTGTGTGAAAAATCAAATCAAAATATTTCGGGTTTGGGGCATTTGTTTTTGGATGAAACAATTCAAAGTTACCTGTGGAAAAAACAGACCCTTTTTCAACAAAACTTCCTTTAATCAAACCCCCACTTTTCCATGAAAAAAAAAAAAAATGTTCCAATGAAAAACATTCAACGGCACACACAGCAACACCATGTTTAGGACAGGAAGTGATGGGGAGCCCTGTATCCAATCGAAACTGCCAGAGGAACAGAGGGGAGACAAAGAGGTGACCACACACAGGACAGGAAAACAAAGCAGGTTTCTCTTTTATTTTTATTTTTTTTCCAAAAAAAGGCACTAAGTTGATTTAAAAAAAAAAAAAAAAGATTTTTTCCTTTTGTTTATTTAAAGTGAACAAGAAATTAACCATCAATTATGTACAAAACAAGGAGATTTACAGAGTTTAGTGTGTTGCACCCTCTTTGCCAATAAAAAAAAGGAATAAACAGAGATTCCCACCTTGAAATGAAAAAAAAAAAAAGGATTTTTATCAAAAGGAACCAGAGGCTATTTCAATCCCTGCGGTGTGAAATAACACCCCCACCCTATGCCTTAAAAACAGCACCCCAAAAAACCTGGCCTCCATCCGAGCAAGGCGTTGGCGAAACCACGCCGCAGGCACCAAAGACCTCAGCGAGCCTGTCTGGCTACACAACCGGGGAATCAGCCAAGAGAGAAGAGAGGAGCCCATTTAAAATGTCCCCGGCTGTTTATAAAAATAAGGGAAGAGGGAGAAAAAGATGAGAAGGGGCAGGGCAAATGGGGTTGGGTGTTTTCAAAAGGCAAAAAACTATAAACAGTCAAACCCAGAGATCCGTCTCGACCAGAAAAGGCCTGTCGGCTGTTTCCTCCCAAATCCCCACGGTCTCTTGCTCGAGTGGCTAACAGGTCCAGGTGACAGTAAATACAGGGGAGCTCAGCTCGACTTGTGGCTGGTTCGGTTGGTCAAAAAACAAAAAAAGAGTCAGAAACAGTACGTGTCTGTCATCTGCTTGTGAACAGGCTTCCTCCTAGGGAGCGACGGAAGGCAGCGGGAGCAGGATGCCACTATGCTGGCAAACTCAGCTTCTTCCCCTTTAGAACTGTGGGAGGAAGGATTTCAGCATTTCTTACGCCTTTGGTCTCAAGGCATTTTACACCTTCACTCACCACTGAGAGAGGCAGCCCTTTCTAGGGTGGGATGTGATAGCTGTTCCCAAGGGACTTGCTGACCCAGAGGGGAAATGCAGCCACCTCTGGGGTGGGGGCATGCAGCTATTTAGCAGACACAGACACACCAGAAAAGTATGACAAGCGAGAACAGAGACCAAATGCCAAGCCCTGAATTTTAGGCACTCAAACAAGGGCTGATTCGCAGAGGGGCTGAACACACTCAGCTCCCATTGACTCTGGAGCACCTGGTCTCACTGACAAAATCCTGCCTCTTCCCCGCGGTGGATTTTGATGCCTAACTTTAGGCAGCAGAATTCGTACAGGGTTGGCTGGCGCGGTGGGCTGGCATAGCAGGGGCGACAGGGCCATGGGATAAAATCGCCACTGTGCAGGGATTTGCCCATCCAACTCCCCCAGTAAAGCCCCACAGAGCCTTTAATGACCACACCGGGTCTGTGTTGCACAGATCCCCCCTGAATTACCAGTGTTAGCCCTAGAAGCACAGGTTCTAGGTTCGGCCCCAGCACCCCACACATGCCAATCCTGGGAGGTGGGTGAGCACAGCTCTGTTTCCAGAAGTGCTAAGTGGGGTATAGCGAGGGGAAGCGACTTGTTTTCTCCCCAGACCACACAGCGTATCAGTGACAGAGCCAAAATAGAAACCAGAACTCCTCACTTCCAGCCACTCCCCTGTAACCACTAGACCCCACTCCCCTCCAAGTGGAAGGACAGAACCCAGCAGTTCTGGCTCTCACCCCCCTGCTCAAACCCATGATACCCCACTACCCTCACAAAGCCGGGGAGAGACCAAAGAGTCCTGCTCCCAGCCCCCCACCTCTGACCACTAGCTCCCTGTCCCTAATCTCCAGCACGCACCTTTTGTGATGTAGAGGTAGAAGAAGTCGCAGTAGAGGATGGTCTGCACTAGCCCAGCCACGATGGCGATCAGGTCAAAAAAAGCCCTCCTGCTGGTAGCGCCAGATCCAGTTGAAGAGGTAGAGGGTGCGGTAGATGCCCAGGGCGAAGAGATAGTGGCTGGTGATGGTCTCTGCCTCGCCCGTCTTGCTCACCATGAACAGCTGCGGCAGGATGGCCACCGACTCCAGGTAGATGGAGAACGTCCAGAGGATCTTAGGACCCGCGCAGCAACGGGGAAAGAACCGGTTAGAACTCATGCCGGAGTCCACGGGATCCCCCCGCACCAGGCTCTAGGCGGGGAGTCATCCTCCCTCCCTGCCCACCCCCAGAGTAACCAAACCCCGCCTGACCAGCCTGGCGGTGCCCCCCGCCAGGGGGCAGGGGGCCACCGTTACCTCCAGCGGGGTGAAGTCATGGTTCACCAGGAAGGCCAGCACAGCCGTGGGCACCACAAGGAACTCCACCCGGAAGGTGTCGTGATTCCCGTCGTATGTGGCCTTGAACTTGCTGTAGATCAGCCACACCGTGGCGTAGGAGCAGGCGATGTACACAACCTGGAGACAAGAGGCGGCGCTGGGTGGGAGCCCAATCTTCCCCTGCTGGCTATCACGGGCGGCGGAGGAGCAGCCGCGGAGAGGAGCCTGTGATAGGCACTGCACAAACCCAGCACAACCAGGTAGCCCCCGCCCCAAGGTGCAATGACATGGGTTGTATGCCTCTAGTGCGGACAGGGACCCTTCACCCAGCGCTGAGACGTGGCCCTCTGGGGTGGGCGCTGGTTATATGGGGTCGCTTCGCCTGGCACTGGGACGTAGCCCCTTTGGGCTGGGGCGTGTGGACTGGCTATATGGGGACTCCACACCCAGCGCTGAGACGCAGCTGTGGGGGGTGGTTATACAGGGACCCCCTCACTGAGACATGGCCCGTCTATGGTGGGCACAGGGGCTGGTTTTATGGGGACCCCTCACCCAGCACGGAGACTGGGGTGACAAAGAGCCAAGCATCGAACTGAAACCCAGGGGAAGGCGGGCGGGAGCTGATGAGGGGTGTGGGAGGCAATCGGGGGGCGGGAGGGGGAGGTTCAGAGAGGGCCTGGAGGCAGATGGCAGCAGGGGGGCTGGGGAGCCCCCAGGCACGGTGATCAGGCATTACCTTCATGGAGGTGTTGTAGAAGGAGATGAAGTTGGTGATCAGGTCCAGGTAGCGGGTGGTGAACACAACAGCGAAGAGAATCTGGCTCTTCCCAGAGATCCCTGGCGGGGGGGGGGGGGGAGGAGAGACAGGACATGAAGTGGGGGCCAGGGGGCTGTGGGTCAGGAGTTGGGGCACCTGCAGAGCTGGGGGGTGGGGGGAGAGCCCAGGGCTGGGCTAGCAGGGGGGCGGCATGTCGGGAGTGAGGAGCACCAGCCGTTCCAGGCCTGCTCTATCCAGGGCCTTTCCCATCTGCCCTGCGCGTGGATCGCTCTGCAGCGCAGGGGAAGCTGCTGACGCCAGCCCGGGGCTGCCCCACACAGACCAGGCCTCGGGCTTCACCCCATTACAGCCCCCTGCAGTGCGTGTGTGTTGGGGCGAGGGGTGCCTGGGGGGGTCCCAACAGAGGGGGGCAGGAGGGTAATTTGTGGGATCTCTGACCCCCCCCCAGCTTCCATATCATCACCCTCCTCCCCTTCCCCACAAATCACCCTCCCTCCCAAAGCTATTGGGGGTGGAATGACCCAATCACTGGGGCTTTAACTACCACCTTTCCCCAGCCCCCCAACACCCCCCAGAGGAGGGGACATAACCCCTCAAACTTCCCCCAAAGGCAGCTCTTCAAGTGGGGAACCCCATTTCCTCCGGTCCCCCAAGTCCTCCGCCCTCCAAAACCCCATGCCATTCAAAAAGGAGCCCCCCAAAACCGAGCCGAGGCTAGTCCCACCCCGCCTCAAAAATACACAAGTAGGAGGGTGCACTGAACCCCGCAAATCAAAGGGCCCATCCCCACTTCATGAGGGGTGTCCGCTTCCCAATATGAAGTTTAATTATCCCCAAATCTCTCCCGCAATTAGTTCTCTAAAAGCCCAGTCACGGAGGGGTGCGCTGGGGGGGTCATGCACCCCAATAATTTCCCTTTGTTACATGGGAGGCGGAGAACCATCCTGCTCCGGGCGAGAGGCTGGGCTGAGCCAGCTAGGACCCCTCCAAAGAGAGCCCGGGACAGTTTCCCAGGGGAGACCCGGAGGGGCAGTTTGGGGGCGCAGAGGAGGGATAAAGGGGGGCCCTCCTTACCCGCACAGGACCTCGTCTTCCAGATCTTCATCAGCAGGATGATAATAGCCAGGAGGTGGGAAATGTCCCCCAGGAATCGGAAGATGTTCATGGTGGGGGGCGAGGAGGTTTTTGGGGCGCTGGCTGGCGAGATGGGGGGAGGGGCGCCCCTTACCGTCTGGGAAGGGCCCGGCTGGAGTGTGTGTGGGGCTGAGGAAACAAGGCCCGAGCAGGTCGAGGAAGGAGGAGCAAAGAAAATCCCCTCCCCCCGCGGGGCTGGGCTGAGAGATGACAACGTGTCCAGCCCCTCCCGGAGCCGGGGAGAGAACCCAGGAGTCCTACCTCCCTCGCCCCCTCTGTTCTAACCACTAGACCGCCCCCCCTCCTGGAGCTGGGAGGAGAACCCAGGAGTGCCAGCCCCCAGCCACCTGCTTCAGGAAACCAAGCTGAATGATTTGAATGCCGCCCCACTGCTCCCCAAATTTGCTGTAATCCAAGTTGCCCCTGTCTTTGCAACAATCCTCCCCCTGCCGGCCCCATAGAGGAGATCCAGAATAAATGGGTCTTTGGGGACGTCCTCCCCCTCCTCTGCTTTCACCTCAGGGACACCCCTCATGCCTGCCCCCCAAATCTCAACCCAGCCAAATACACAGTGATGTCACCTTGACAATCACCGCTAGCCCTGATGCCCTAGGACAGCTCTAGGGGGAGCGCTGGGCTGCGGGGAGCGGGGCGGGGCGCTCAGCAGGGGGCGCTGTGCTGCGGGGCGTGAGGCAGGGGCTCAGCAGGGGGCGCTGTTCCCATCGTCTATGCTGGCCTCAATGCCCTAAGGCGACGCTAGGAGGCGCTGAGCCTTTGGAGTTGCCACATTTCTGATAAGATGAGCACGTGGGAGTCAGGACGGCTGGGTTCTATCCCAGCTCTGGGAGGGGAGAGGATTCTAATGGTTATAGGTGGGCGGGGTACGGGGCGGGGGACTGGGAGCCAGGACTCCTGGGTTCTCTCTCTGGCTCTGGGAGGAGAGTGGGGGCTGGTGGTTAGAGCAAAGAGGGCTGTGAATTAGCTCTGTGGTTCTCCCATCCTTTGGCGGGGGGCAGGGTATAACACCTCCCTCTCTCCCCCAGGTTGCCCCAAGAGAATGGGCTCATGCCGTATGAGCATCTAGCCCCCACCCCCAAATAACCCCACAGGTACAGCCCAGCAGGGCTTTGCCCAACCCCTGGGACAGGAGGGTTGGGCCCAGAGAACATAGCCTGGGGGGAAGGCATTTTGCATCTGTCGGGGGGGGGGCATAGCTAATGGTGGTGGGGTGATTTGGGGGTCCCCACAGGCTCCAGCTTCATTGGATGTCCAGCACACAGGCTGGTGCCACCCACAGCCCTCCACGCTGTGCCTTGCAGGACAGCTGTGCCACGGGCAGAAGCCGGGTGGAGGAGTGCGAGCTGCTAGGTCACCATGCCCTGCTTACAGCTGATGCAGGGAGCGTCTGGGAGGGATGTGCCAGCCAGTGCCTGCCAGGGCTGGGTAGAGGTGGTGGCGAAATTATGCTAAACCCCTGCTCTACCCACTAGACCCCACTCCCCTTCCAGCCCCCCTGCTCTAACTGTCCACATGCCCTTTCCAGGGACCCTTTGCCCAGCGCTGAGATGTGGCCTCTCTGGGGTGGGGCATGGGGTCTGTTTATACAGAGACCACTTACCCAGGGCTGAGATGCGGCCCCTCTGAGATGGGGTGCAGGGGCTGGTTATATAAGGATGCCTCACCCAGGGCTAAGATGTGACCCCTCTGGGGTGGGGCATGGGGACTGGTTATATGGAGAGGCTGGTTATACGGGTACCCCTTACCCAGGGCTGAGATGCAGCCCCTCTGGGGTGGGGCACCGGGGCTGTGTAACAGCCACACCTAATGTTTAGGGCAGGAAGAGAAAGAGAATCCTTCATCAGATGCAGGTTCCAGCGGGGGATTTAGGGAGGGCTACGCTGAGTCCTTCGGGATGTGGCATGGTCTGGGCACCGGGGTCCGCCGAGGGAAAAAGGTCCTGTGGCCCCATCCGCGATTCTCAGTTCATGTAGCTGAGCCCCTTCTGGCCAGCAGGGGGCAGCGCCAGCTCAAGAACGGGCCTAGCCAGCCTTGGTGTGCTACCCAGCCAGCTGGCCCTGAGCCCTGGGCAAACTCCAGCCACTGGTGTGTGCAGACACAGAGGGGTCGCTTCTGCCCCATTACATGGGGATGGAACCCCGGCATCCTGCCTCCCAACCCCAGCATGCGCTGGGGCAGGCAGAGCCAGGCAGCAGAATATAGACAGGCCACGGGCCAGGTTTTCCCAGCTCTAGCCACTAAACCCCACTCCCCTCCCAGAGCCAGGGATAGAACCCAGGCGTCCTGGCTCCCAGCCCCCCTGCTCTAAGCACTAGGCCCCATCTCCCAAAGCCAGGGATAGAACCCAGGCGTCCTGGCTCCCAGCACTCTCCTCATAAGCCTCGCCCGTCCCCATGGGCTGCCTGGCACCTGCGGGCCCTGGAGGCAGCGCCCTGGGCTGGGGGAGGGGGCAGCGAGAGAGGGGAGGGGCGCAGCTGTTCATTGCCTCTGACTAGAAAAGTGGGGAGGCAGCTGGTGCTGGGGGGGAGCTGGTGTGGGCGGGTGCTATTCCCCTCACGCTGCCAGGGTCGAGCAGCTGGCGCTCCGCACCAGTCATGCTCCCCTGTTTGCTAATGACGGTGGTTAATTGCTTTCCGATCCACATGAGGGGAATGGTAAGCAGGACAGCAAGCTTGCTGGCGGGTGGGGGGGAACCAGGACTCCTGGGATCTCTCCCTGGCTCTGAGAGGGGAGTGGAAGCTAGTGGTTAGAGCAGTGGGAGCTGGGAGCCAGGATTCCTGGGGGCTTGTGAGAGGAAATTCATTGAGGTTTCTAAAAGGCCTCTGGTAGGCACTTAGAAAAGGCTAAAGATAGATTAATAACGCCTTCCAGTTACAGCTTTTATAAAATACAGCTGCCTCTGGGGTGGGGTGCTGGGGCTATTTATACAGGGACCTCTCTCCCGGCGCTGGAACGTGGCCACCTCTGGGATGGGGCGCGGGGGCTGGGTATCCGGGGCTCCTTGCCCAGCGCTGAAAAGTGGCCCTGCTGGGGTGGAGTGCAGGGGCCGGTTATACGGGGACCCCTCACCTGGCACTGAGATGCAGCCTCTCTGGGGTGGGGCGTGGGGGGGCTGTGTAACAGCTCGCAGGAACATCTGGGGCAGGAGATGAAGTTTCCCATTGAAATGTAAGGGGAATTATGGGATTGGTGCAGGACACCTGGTTTCACAGCACCACGTTTGGAGGGAAAAAGCCAAGGGACGGGAGATGAGCTTGGCACTGCCAGTAATAATACAGGGCCCCCAGGCCTGGGCAAGTAGGGAGGGGCACTGGCAGAGCTGCATGTGGGCTGAGTTCTCCCCCACCGTTCCTGGCACCTAATGAAGGGGATTTAGGGAGATGATTAAGGGGGCCATGGAACAGCAGGAATGTCAGGGGCCCACAGTGGCTCAGCACCAGCTCCAGGCTGGGTCAGATCAGCCCCCACCTGCCCCCGGAGCATTCCAGCTGCCCTAGGCCCTTTCCCGCTCAATCTCCTTCACCCCGGCCCTCCCAGAGCCAGGAAGAGAACCCAGGTGTCCGGGTTCCCAGCCTCCCCTACTCTAACCACTAGACCCCACTCCCCTACCAGAGTGGGGCGGGGACTGATCGGCTGTCTTCTCACACCCAGCTGGCGCTCTGCCGTTACATTTTCTATCGGCCGTGACTATTTTTTCCTCCTTTCTTCCTCCTTCCCCTTGTTCTCTGCAGAGAGCCCGAGCGTCACGAATGGGGGACGGGGCCTTTGTTCCTGTGAGCCGCCTTGCTCCCCGCTGCTCCAAACCAGCCCCAGTCGCAATCTGCCACGGCTTCCATCGTCATGCCTGCTCCAGCAGGGCGTGGGGACTGCACCGGACAGCGCCGAAAGAGAAGACAGCTGGACTGAGGTGCTAGGGGGGTTCTGGGCGCTCTCCTCTGCCAGTCATTGCAGACCCCGGTGCTCCAGGGCAGGGCAGGGAGGGTGCTCTGTAGGGGGCGTTCTTCTACCCGGTAGTGCTGCGGGGCAGGTATCTCCCCCAGCTTGGTGAATCTTTTTGTCAACACCTATCCCATAGTGATCCCTGGGTTCTGGGGTGAAACCTGGCGCAAATTTACCCCTCTCTGGGCCTGTGAGCTTCTGAGCCTCCCAGTACCACCAAGCCCCCCATAGCACAGCCCCCCCTTTTGGTTCAGGGCTCTTTGGCAGCCAGGGGAGCACCCACCCCCCCTTTTCAGCCAGCAGCCTCTAGGTACAGCCCTGACTGCAAGGGGAAGATATCCCAGCCACACACCCCTTAGACTCTAGAGGTCACTCGCCCCTTTACCAACCACTTCCCAGCTGGTCTCTCCTCCACCCTCCTAACTTCCTGGGCCCTGCTTAGCTTGCAGAGACCAACTGGTATCACAACTCGGGGTGCGTATAGGGGCAAATTGGTGGCTGGCTTCTGGGGGGAGTGGGGGAGGGAGGGGAGTGTGGCATTGTATATCCCTCACACACACCCCTCTGAGACATACATCCCTTGCACACCCTCCTCTGCAACACACACACACCTCTACTACATACACACACATGCAGACACACCCCTCTGACACATACACCCTCACACATTCCTGGGCTACATACAACCTCACACACCCCAGTGTTACATACACCCTTGCACACACACATACACCCTCACACACCCCAGTGTTACATACATCCCTTGCACACACACATACACCCTCACACACCCCAGTGTTACATACATCCCTTGCACACACACATACACCCTCACACACCCCAGTGTTACATACACCCTTGCACACACACATACACCCTCACACACCCCTCTGAGACATACATCCCTTGCACACACATACTTGCACCCTCCTCTGCTACACACACACACCCCTTTATTACATACACACACACACACCTCTGACACATACACCCTCATACACCCCTCTGTGCATACACCCCTTGCACACCCACACACCCCTCTGCTACATACACCCTTTGGACAACCCCTGCCCCTCACCTGCTTACCTTCTCTCATTGCCTTGCTCTGATGGGGGGGGACCCCAGACAGCAGGGCTGGGTGGGTTGAGATTTGGGGGAGCCGGGGGGGAAAAGGGGTATCTATCTCTTCCCCCATCCACCCCCCCTTCCTGCTCCAAGCTCTCCCGTCCCACTGGGCTCCATCCCTCTCTCTTCACAGCCCCCTCCCTTTTCACTT